ACTCCACTCTTCATGCTTGCATCGTTTCCAACATCCTGAACAATATCAGGTTATTGTCAGCTCCCATTATTTTAATTTATTTTTAATTTGGCACACAAAAAAAGACAATATTTGTGATTGACTGTGGCTAAATGTGGAGCTGCTGATTCGTTTCCTCCCACCAGCTATAAAACAAACGACGTGTTGTTGACACAGCAACACTTTAATGACAGTTTTTCTGCTCCTGATCACTTCTCCTGGTGTGGAGATGATCCTCTGTAGCTGTTTTATTGTCTATAAGGGCGGACAAAGCCGTGTTTGTACTTGACTCTTCCGCTGATGATTTACTTACATTCTTTCCTCTTGAGTAACAAGAGTAGCTATCACATTTCCCTTTCATGAGGAAAAAAAATAAAGGTGGCTATTTATGGCTTCGGCTGCTCAGACAAGTTATCATCCTCGTGGATTGTTCTTTGAGCCTGGTGTCTTCTCCCCCCTGGCTTTTAACGCGCCACAATTATTCAGTAATTACTCGGATTCTAAAGACCACACTTTGCGCAACGAGATGTCAGCTCCTCCTCTTTCCCAAAGACTTATTTGCATCGCAAAGTGCTTCACATTCCAGCCCATTGAGTCGATCTGGAAAATATTAGATTCAATAACAGAAGAGCCGAGCAGCCAAATGAAATCACACATATTTACCTCATGCTGTAACAAAGGAGCGCCAGAGGAAACGTGTTTGTTGTCTAAACACGATGTGAAGGCAGTTTGTTCAGACATGTCTCCTTAAAGGAAAAAAAACAAGCAGAATGAAAACTGTAATCAGCCGAATAGTAGCTGAATGTTAAAATTAAATAAATTGTAACTAAAAGTTACAACAATCAAAACTGTTTGTAATGCGAAATTTACCCGATTGATTGCAAAAAGCTAAAATGAGGGAAGCTGCAGCTAGAAATCTCACATTAGCAAAACAGCAGCTAAATGCTAAGACTAACAAAAGCATAAGTGAAAGCTAAGATTCAGCTAAACTGTAACTAAAGACTTACATTAGCAACACGGTCGCTGAAAGCTAAAGTAAACAAAATCTGAAATAAAATCTAAAATTAGAAAACTGTAGCTAAAATCTCACATTCACAAAACAGCAGCTAATGGCTAACATTAGCATAAGCATAGGTATATGTGTGTGTGTGTATGTATGTATGTATATATATATATGTATGTATATAAATATATATATATATATATATATATATGTATATATATATATATGCATGTATATGAAAGTGTTTGGATATGTAGGTAGGGGTAGGTTTATGTGTATATGTATAAATTTATATATGTATATGGGTATGGTTTTCAGAAAGGTTAAAGTCATTATAATTATATAGTTATGCATTTTTGTTGCTGTGGTTTTGCTATCTTTGTTTTGTAGGTGTGGAGCCAGGAAGTCCGGTGTGCTGTCTTGTCTTTTCTCAACATATATTTTACATATCTTCTAATCTCTTTTTCACTCTTTCTCATTACATTTCACTTTTTTTCCTTTCTTCTTCTTTTTCTTCTATTAAAAAAAGCACAAGCATAGGTAAAAGGCTAATTTTCAACTAAACTGTAACTAAAGACTTACATTAGCAACACAGTAGCTAAAAGCTAAGGAAAACAAAACCTGAAAAAAAATCTAAAATTAGTAAAACTGTAAAATCTCACATTAACATAACAGCAGCTAAATTTTAAAATCAACAAAAACATCAGTGATAGCTAAGATTCAGCTAAAGTGTAACTAAAAACTTACATTAGCAACACAGTAGCTAAAAGCTAAGGTAAACAAAACCCAAAATGAAATCTAAAACTATTAAACTGTAGCCAAAATCTCACATTAATAAAACAGCAGCTAATAGCTAACATTAGCATAAGCATAGGTAAAGGCTAAGATTCAGCTAAACTGTAACTAAACGCTTACTTTAGCAACACGGTAGCTAAAGGCTAAGTTAAACAAGCCCTAACCAAAATTTTAAATGAAAAAAAAACCCTTCAGCTTGAAGCTCATATTAGCAAATCAGTAGCTGAAAACTAAAATTAAAAGAAACCGTAACTAAAAAGCTAAAGTCACCAGAACTGTAGCAAAAAGCTGAAATGTGTGAAATTGTATCAAAAGCTTACGTTAGCAAAACAGCAGCTAAAAGCTAAAATGATCAAAAACAAAGGTAATATGAAAGCTAATATTTAGTGAAACTGTAACTAAAAGCTTACATTAGCTAAAAGCTAATATAAGCAAACTCTTAAATAAAAGCTAAAATAAGTAAACTGCAGCTTGAAAGTCACATTAGCAAAACAGTAGCCGAAGGTTAAAATTAGCAAAGGCATAGGTAAAAGCTAAAATTCACCTAAATTATAAGTAAAAACTCAAATTATCAGAACTGTAGTGCCGAGCTAACATTAACCAAAACTTCAATAAACGCTGTAGCTACTGTAAAATGTCACATTAGCAGAACAATACTCAATATGTAAATACAGGTCAAATTCTTATTAACATCAGCTAAAAGGTGCAAGATAGCAGTTAAAAGCTATATTGAGGATAAAAAGAATAAAACAAAGCAGGTCTGTTGATGCTGAGTTCAGAGAACAATGTTTACAAAAGAATTGAAGAGATTCTAATGAATTTCTATGGGGGAAATAAGTAAAAGAGTTTAAAAGTTACAAATACTTAAAGCCACACTRCAGCATTCCTGACTGAGCAGAACATTTGGATAAACAAACGGTTAAAATAGCACCAAGTATGCAGAAGTAGTTGGATTGCAAAACACACTCCGAAGAAACTATAAACAGAAACGTAATATTGTGAATGCTGACTCAGCGTTCCCACAGTCAGCTCCGTTTGTTACCGGAGTGAAATCGCAACTAAAATCAAAGCAGTTTGGCCGCACAGATTGTGGGTTTCCCAGCAAACAGGTTTTCCACGACACAAATTTTCTTTCTCCAGTTGCTCAGATCAGAGAATAACAGGACAAAACACTGAGATGATGTAATTTCTTTTTGGGGGTGGGTGGATGAAATGTTTTAAGTGCTGTGTAGGTGC